GTCATAGCTTTTCTTCCAGGAGCAAGCGTCTTTTAATTTCATGGCTGCAGTCACCATCTGCAGTGATTTTGGAGCCCAAGAAAATAAAGTCTGTCATTGTTTCCATTGTTTCCCCATCTATTTGCCATGAAGTGATGGGACTGGATGCCTTGATCTTCGTTTTTTTGAATGTCAAGTTTTAAGCCAGTTTTTTCACTCTCCTCTTTCACCTTCATCAAGACTCTTTAGTTCCTTTTCGCTTTCTGCCATTAGGGTGGTGTTATCTGCATATCTTAGGTTATTGATATTTCTCCCGGCAATCTTGATTCCAGCTTGAGCTTCATCCAGCCCAGCATTTTGCATGATGTATTCTGTATAGAAGTTAAATAAACAGGCTGACAGTATCCAGCCTTGATGTGCTCCTATCTATTTAGTAATAGATCTCAGTATCTGATGGAGCATGTTCCCTTTCCTCCCAGTCTTCTTCAAGAAAGTCTTGGCTCTTCTAAGTTTTTCATGCATGCTGTGCTAAGTCGCTTCAGTAGTGTCTGATTCCTGACTCCTTGTGACCCATGGACTGCAGCCTGCCAGACTCCTCTGTCCTTGGAATTCTCCAGGCAAGAATACTGGAGTGGGTTGCCATGCCCCCCTCCTCCAGGGAGTCTTCCCAGCCCAGGGATTGAACCAGTGTCTCTTACATCTTCTGCATCTCTAAGGTTTTCTGCATTGGCTGGCAGGGTCTTGACCACTGGTGCACCTGGGTTTTTTATATTTCCATGTAAATCCTGTCATCAACTTTTCAAGACTTTCCTTTTCCCAACACACGGAAATCTACAATCTTGTCAGAACTGAATTATAGTTGCATTAGATTAATTTGGAAAGAATGTCATCTTTAAAATATTTGATCTTCCAATCCATGAACATTAGGTGAAATTTGTTAAACAGGCTGTTCAAACATTTTATTGTATTACTGCTCATTTTTTTTTTTTTTGGTCTAATAGTCCAGTCAATTATTGAGAGAAGCAGGCTAAAGTATCTCATTATGATTATGGATTACGTTTTTTTTCCTTTTACTTCTGCACAATTTTGCTTTATATTTTTTGAGGCTATGTTAATATGGAAAAATATTTTGTAACATTATACCTTCCTGGGGGATTAAAACTTCTGTCACTATAAAGTGGTCTTATATCTCTAGAGATGTTCTTCAGTATTTTCATGATATATCATTTTTTTAATTTATATTTAATCTTTCTGTAACCTTATATTTTAGATATCTCTCTTGCAATCAGTATATGGTTGGATTTTTTCCTTAAAAATTGCCTGACAGTCTTTATTAACTGAAGAATTTACTCTATTTACATATACCTACTGACACTCCTTGTGTTCTATTTGTCTTCTGTTAGGTATTCTTTTCCCCCTTATCCTTTCTTGTCTTTGGGGGATATTTAAAATAAATTATTCTTTTTTCCCCCTCTACCTCTGATAGCTGGGAAGTTATACACTCTGCTTCTGTTATTTTTCTGGCTGCCCTAGAAATTTTAGCAAGCAAATTTATCAAAGTCTGAGATTAAGCTATGTATTTGTTTTCTCCCAAACCAAGAGCTTTTAAAACACTGTAACTGCATTTAGCTTTCTTCCCAAATCATATACTAATTTTTAAAACATTTTTACTCTATACTGTTTCTTGAAACTCCATATGTCATTATCATTATGATTGTTTTATCAGTCAATGTTTAGTTTTATACATACAGTGCATAATGCTTCTTCTTCTTCTATGCAATTCTATGAGATTACATAGAATCTCACACTATGCTACTACACAAAAAATATTCTTTAGCATTTTTTTTAGTGAGAGGCTACTAGTGACAAACTCTGTTTTGCTAGAGCATGTCTTTTGGGGCACATTTTCTTGAAAGATATTTTAACTGGGTGTAGGCTTCTAGATTGACCATTATTTTCTTTTAGCACACACTGAAGACATTCTGTTGGCTTCCATTGTCACTGTTGGAAGGTTATCTGATTTCTAACTGTTCTCTTTTAAATATAAACAGAATTTCTTTTTCTCTGCTGACTTTTAGATTTCCTTTTTGTCTTTGTTGTTCTACAGTTTCACTGGTGTGTCTAGAATTTTTTTTTTCATGGAAACACATTTTATTTTAAATATAGCAGTGTGTACATGTAAATCCTAAATTCCCAATCTACCTAGGATTATTTTTTAATTAATCCTGCTTGGGGCTCATTAGGATTCTTAAATCTATGAATGGGTCTCTCTTATCAGTTTTGGAAAATAATCATCCATTATCTCTTCAAATGCTGCCTCTGCCTGATTATCTTTTTCCTCTCCTTCTGAGACTCTGAACAAATACATTTTATACCCCTCATTCTACTTTCATATTTACAAACTTTTCTGTATTCTTTACCTTTTTTGTAAAAGGTAAATTTACCCCATGGTAAATTTTGATAGGTTTTTTTTCAACTTTTCTTCCAGGTCATTAGTTTCTCTCTAGTTGGGTCTAACCTGCATTTAACTCTCATCTTTTAAGTTTTGACTTTGCTGGTGGCTCAGATGGTAAGGCGTCTGTCTACAATGCAGGAGACCCAGGTTCAATCCCTGGGTTGGGAAGATCCTCTGGAGAAGGAAATGGCAACCCACTCCAGTACTCTTGCCTAGAAAATCCCATGGACGGAGAGTGTGGTAGGCTATAGTCCATGGGGGTGCAAAAAGTCAGACACAATTGAGTGACTTCACTTCACTTCTCAGTTTTTAGTTTCAGTTGTATTTTTCATTTCTATACTATCTTTTTGTCAAATTTATCATGTCACTTTATAGTTTTCTGTTCCCTCCATATATCTTCAAGCTGACATTTTGTTTTCATAAACATACTTAGATTACTTCAGGTTTTGAAGGCTTTGTAAGTCTTTGTAAGACTTTTCTCACTGGACACCAGTCCTTTGAATTTTCAGTTTTGGTATCGCGTTTCCTCGTGTTTTTATCACTTTTCACTGTGTGCTGGTAATTGAACTTGAAAGGTAATCTGTAGAAGTAATTTGAGGGTGGGATAAGTGACCTTCCTTCAGATAGGATTTGGATTTGATTCTGTTAGCACCTCAGCTCATTGCTGTCCCTTAAATTCTAAATCACCCAGGAGAGACAAAACTGGTCTCAAGTGTTTGATTTCTAGGGATCTATTCAGGGAAATGATACTCTTTAGTTGTTCTTTGCTTTCAGTCATTATCTGAGGTTGTTGATATTTCTCCCAGCCTTCTAGTTTCCAGCCTGTGAATCATCCAGTCCAGCATTTTGCATAATATACTCTGCATATTGCAGAAGGAAATGGCAACCCACTTCAGTATTCTTATCTGGAGAATCCCATGGACAGAAGAGCCTGGCATGCTACAGTCCACAGAATTCTCCAGCTCAGAATACTAGAATGGGTAGCTGTTTCCTTCTCCAGGGTATCTTCCCAACCCAGGGATCAAACCCAGGTCTTCCACACTGCAGGTGGATTCTTTACCAGCTGAGCCACCGGGGAAGCCCCAAAATACTGGGGTGGGCAGCCTATCCCTTCTCTAGCAGAGCTTTCTGACCCAGGAATCAAACTGCATTGCAGGCGGATTCTATGCTTATATAAGAATTAATTTATACAAAAAGATATTCAAAGCAACATTATTTGGTAAAACAAAAGAACTTTGAATAATCTTTATTTATAACCATTTATAGAATGGTCAGATACTATATGAAAAGGCTCATAGATATTAAAATGATGTTAATGTAACCCATGGGCTTTCCTGGTGGCTCAGTGGTGAAGAATCCCCCTGCCAATGTGGGAAATGTAGGCTTGATCCCTGAGTTGGAAGGATCCTTTGGAAAAGGAAATGGCAACCCACTCCAGTATTCTTTCTTGGGAAATCCCATGGACAGAGGAGCCTGGCGGGCTACAGTCCATGACATTGCAAAAGTGAAACTTAGCGACTAAACAATAGCAATGTAAGCTATATAATATCATGGGAAAATTGTTGAAAATTAAGTTAAAAGTAGGAAAAATTACATATGTAATATAATTACAGGTGTGTTAACAAAAACCTATGCTTAAAAACTTCGGAACAGTGCTAATAGAACTTTTATTGACCATAAAACTTTTCTATAACTGCCCTGCAATATGGTTGCCATTAGTCACACACAGTTATTTAACACTTGAAATGTAGCTAGTGTGACTGAAGAGTTAAATTTAAATTTCATTTTATTATAATTCCTTTAAATTTGGATAGCCATGTGAAATATTTGTTACCACATTGGGCAGTGCAGATCTAGATAATACTGAAATATTAATCATGATTTTGGGGATGAGGCTGAGACTTCTGGTGATTTTCTACCATTGATTTTAGGTTTCTAAAGGGTTCCAAATGTTCGTCACTATACAATGATCACATTTTAAAGTAAAAAGGCTTTAACCAAAATAGCCCCTCATAAGACACATGTAAGGTATTGTTATAAAGTCTGCTTGCGTGCATGCTAAGTCACATTAGTCTTGTCTGACTTTTTGTGACCCTATGGACTGTAGCCCACCAGGCTCCTTTGTCCATGGGATTCTCTAGGCAAGAATACTGGAATGGGTTGCCACGCCAGGGATCTTCCTAACCCAAGGATTGAAACTGTATCTCCGACAGTTCCTACATTGCAGGTGGATTTTTTTACCACTGAGCCACCAGGGAAGCCCATTATTCTAAATAGAAGTTAAAAGGGCAAGTCTGTACCAATTCTTTATGACTAATAGTTAAACATGTCCTGTAACCAAGCTGCCATTTTCATCGAGACAGCTTTTAAAATTTTAGGTAAAACTGGTTTTTAAAAAGTAGCAAATTTAAAAAATTACAAGCTAATTACCTTTCCACATGCTATTCTAGAATCACAGCAAACAATGGATATATTTCTTTTGTCCACTTGATAATCAGTTAGTTCTTCCTTAACTGACTCTACTTCTGGAATATCCACCGAAAATTGATAAGAAATTGTTTTATAGTGTTTTGCATCTAATGGGACAAGAATCACATGAAAATACATATATGTTTAAAACTTTCCAAAATCTCTCTTCTAAAATGAAATTTCAAATTCTATTACAAATGCATTGATTCATCAGACACTTTTTTCTATTGGACTTTTTTTTTTAATGAAAGAAGAATGAAGAGCTTCATTAAATTAAGTTGAGGAGCCCTCTTTTGTTAAAAAAATGAGAACATTCTTATTTCGTTGGAAGAACAAAAATGATAATTTTCATTACGTGGAATTTTTTGGCTGTAGGTTTAGTAGGAAACAGTTGAATCCCAAGGAACTTGGGATTCAGTTGAAAAAAAAAAAAAATCTTCTCAAAGTATCTTTTCAATAGCTCTGAGTTGCAGAGGAGCCTGATACTCAGAAATATTAAAAATAAAATTTAACCCAAATTTTGCAGCCTATAAGGAGAACAGCAAGAATATAACTCTAGAACTTCTGATTCTAGAATGGATGCCCCTTCAGTTGTACTAGTATTGCAGCTACACTGGCCAGCTGACCCATGCGGCCCATCTACAAGAAAGGAATCTGATCTATTTTTGACAGACTTTCCATATTCTAGCCTGAGACAAAATGGAATGTATGTTTTACTAAAAGAGAGACAATGAACTCAAAAGCTCTTTCTAGCTCTCTGTAAAATGCTCTGTGTGCTAGGTCGCTTCAGTCGTGTCTGACTCTTTGCGACCCCATGGACTGTAGCTCACCAGGCTTCTCTGCCCATGGGTATTCTCCAGGCAAGAATACTGGGGGGGTTTCCATTCCATCCTCCAGGGGATCTTCTGAACGCAAGGATGGAACCCACATGTCTTACGTCTCCCGCAGTGGCCGGCGGGTTCTTTACCCTTAGTGCTACCTGGGACGCTCCAAAGTGCTCTCTCGGGGGTGGTTTAGTCCTGTGTGACCCTTGTGACCCCATGGACTAGGCTACCAGGCTCCTCAGTCCATGGGATTCTCTAGGCAAGAACACTAGAGTGGGTTGCCAATTCCTTCCTCAGGGCATCTTCCTGACCCAGGAATTGAACCTGGGTCTCTTGCATTGCAGTCAGATTCGTTACCGACTGAGCTGTGAGGGAAGCCAGTCGAAGTCAGTGCTCTATGGATGCTGCTAAGTTATTTCAACCAATAACAGCAGTCAACTGAAGACTCATAGCTTCAAAAGCTAGGTGATAGAAAAGTGGGGTTTTCTGACCTTCAGCCATTTTGACTGAGGCATTGACCAAAATGAAAAATTTTAATATTACTTTTAAAAAATACATCAGTTTTTGCCCTTGGTCAAACACATGAGCTCCCTGATGTATAACTGATCTGCAACATCAGCTTTGAGGAACTTACCTTCTTCAGAGAAAATAGGCTCTTCTTTTGTTAACATTTCATAGCGTCTGGCCATTTGTTGCTCTTGTTTTCTACAAAATTAAAAACATGATGCACAAGTCTGAAATGTGTTCCAAGTTTAAAACAGTATACTAGAGTGTGGTGGGGGGAGGAGGAGGAGGTGGATCCCTTATAAATGACTCTGAAGCAGGAACCAGAGCCTAAATTCCAGGAGGATAATGGTCATTTGTGACCAAGAAGGAAAGCCCTGAGCCACGGAATCAGTGGTTGTAGCCTTTCAGTGTGAGTCAGCAGCCCTGAGCAAGGGGAATACCTGCTACCAGGCCTTCATTCGACTGCAGCCGCTCCAACCACTCCCTATGGTAAATCTAGAGGAAACTCTGAGAACGCAGGATTACAGGCCCCAGTTAGCTAAGGGCTATAAGAAATCCAAGCCAGCCGCTTGGCTTTTCCCGCCTCCACCCCGGCAAGCCTCATTTGTATTTCATCGGATAAAGCCTTCTCTAACTGTGAGATGCCCTGTGACCTGCAACCAGAGGATTATACATTCTGAAAAAGACATTGTTCAAAGGACTATCTCCAACCTGGACAGAAGGACCCTTATCGGATGACAAAGATTTACATCAAGATAAAGATGATGTGCAGAGAAAAACCCATGCCCCCAAAGAGATTACAGCCACTCTTCCAAACAGATCCAGCAGGAATAACCACAAAAGTCACCCCAGAGCCCCTTCATAGAACAGGGCGAGAGCTCCATGACCCCACCTAGGTAGGGTCTACAAGTCCCGTGTAAGCATTAAATAAGTTACAGAAGACTGACCATCTGTCCTTCATCACCCCAATAAAGATTTCTTGGGGTTCATGTCTCAAGAAAAATTTAAAGTAGGAGATAGATGGGTCTCTGGACTGAAAAGCTGGTGATTTTCAAGCAGAGCAAAACTGAAGTTTGTCCTCAGCCAGACAAGAATGACACGTATTTCCCTTCCTCCATTGATATGGAGGGAATAAATCAACGGGGGGAATTTGTCACAGTGAAAAGGAAAAAAGAGGAATGAGTTTTTCTTTTTCACTTCTCTGACAGCAAAGAAGATACAGAGAACAGTGAGCAGGCCCGAACATTCCTAGTTTATTTTACTTTAACTGCTCCTAATTCTGCACATCTGTAAGTTTGCTTTTCTGCCCCCTAACACTGCAGGAGGTACGCTTCACTGGACTGTATGCTAAATACATCCCCTATCCAGTGTTTACCTTTACAACGGCCTTTGCCTCATAGTTACATGTCAGAAGGAAGGCCTCAGAGCCTCCAAACTGCCAGATGAAGTTACTGGGCTACTGACGCCAGTTTATGACTGTCTTTGAAACAAAGCAAAAGGAAGACATCTAGATCCTATCGCATTGGCTTCCTCATCACCGACTCCTGACTGCGAGCGCTTGCCTTAGGGGCGCAGTTCTTGAGGCAGGAGTATACTGTGTTCCCCGCTCCGCCAGCTGAGAATAAAAGCCACCATTCTATTTCTTTCAAAAACAGAAGTACACTATAATTTTTACTGCTTACATGCCGCTCCTTATTCTTTGTGTCTGTTATTACTTGTGAACCCAGTCATTTAATCACTGCCTGTGTGTTTCTGCTGTGTTTGGTGGACAAATTTCTCTAATATATTAATAGGAATTCCCAATTACCCTGAGAATCTGGGATGGGTAAATTTCCTACTCTAAAGGTCCACCAGGAACTGCATGAAGTTTGCTTTAGCCAATTTTTGTTTCTTCACTGGGAATGCATCTACACAGTTACTTGCTTTGGAAAAAATGAGGTTTGTTTTACAAAAGGCCTTCTAGGGCTTCCCTGGTGGTCCAGTGGTTGAGCATCCACGTGCCAATGCAGGGGACGTGAGTCCGATCCCTGGTCTGGGAAGATCCCACGTGCCACGTAGCAGCTAAGCCCTCAGACCACAACCGCGGAGCCCACAGGACACCGCTGAGGAAGCGCTTGCAGCCTAGAGCCCACACTGCGACAGGGGAAGCCGCAGACAGAAGCCGACGCACCACACAGGACGGTCGCACCCGCTGGCGGCCGCTGGAGAAAGCCTGCGTGTGGCAGCGAAGACCCGGTACCGGCAGAAATAAATACATAAACAAATCTTCTTAAAAAAAGGCTTTCTAATTAAGTGGGCCTATCGGAGTTCCAATAGCCAAGGCTCACTGTTACCTCCGCAAAGCTTTTTCTTTCGCTTTGAGTCTGTCAGCTTCACTGCCGTGGGCGGCATGAGGGTCAATACTGATTAATTCAGCTTTAGGGCTCTGGATTTTTTGGTTTTCTTCATAGATGTAGTCAAGTTTTTTTCTTACTTGAATTATTCATTGTAAACACCCAGGATTCATTCTGAATTGTGGTGAGAAAATCACTGGAGCATTTTAGGGAGAAAAGTTCATGACTGCTTTACTTTTCTAAAGGCTCATTCTGGCTACCATGTGCAGAATAAACACGAGGGAGGGCACAGGTAGACACAGAGAGACCAGTTAGGAAGCCACGGCAGTGTCTTCCACACTTAGCAAAACACCTCTCAAGTTAACAGATGAATGCAGATAAATGCCTCATAAGAGGCCAAATATCGTTTCTTAACAAGTGTTTGGTGGATAAGAAGAACAAGATGGTGGAGGAGTAGGTGGACGTGGAGCACATCTCTCTCCACGGATACATCAGGACACACCTTCAGACACAGAAGTGCATGCGGAACACCAGCTGAGAGCGGACAGGAGGACCTGACCTGCGGAAAAGATTACATAGAGCCACGAAAAACTCAGTAGGACGAAGGAACTGGGGGAAATACGGGAGTGTTAGTAGGACCGGACCTGCCCTTGGCGGGTGGGGGACTGAAGCAGGGGTCCGATCCCCACATCGGGGCAACTGTCTGAGTCAGAGGAGAAACATTTAAGGCTGAGGGTTAAACAGCTGATCTGTGGCAGCCTAAATGGAATGAGAATCAGACAGTCCTTGCTGCAGCCAAACATACCCCGGACGGGAACGCTGGTCCCCTGGAAGGGGCAGCGGCTGGGAGCTGGAGTTTAGGGATTGTGGCGCAATCCCAGGGCGAGGGCTGCTACTTGACTGCAGAGAGACGGATTGAGGGGGTGTGAGGGAGGAGATTGTGATGGGAAACGCCTGTGGAGGAAAGCCGGGCAGCCGTGGAAGCAAGGCGATACTGCTGGGTCATGTGTATGGGGTGGAGCCAGCACCATAGCCTCTCTCTCCCCACACGCCAGCATCGGCAGCTGAACGATAGAGAGGCTGGCCCATCAAACCCCTCACCACTGAACTACAGCGTAGGACCCCAGCCACGGTGCCCCTTTAAGAGCCTGATGCGCCGGGTCTACAGACTAGGACCCCAGCCCGGGGCGGGGCGGGGGGGCCCTCTATGTGCCTGACACGCCTAACAATAGAGAAGGCCCCAGCAAGGAGCCCTCTGAGTGCCTGCGGGGGCGGAGCTCCGGAGCGAGACGGACCGGAGAGGCCTTCCGATCACCAGCTGCAAGAGGCTCAGAAAAGGCTCCGAGAGGGCCGTAACCCTGCGGTGGAGGCAGTCCGTGTCCCAGCACACTTGGCCCTGCCAGGGTCCCCGCTAGCCAAGCAGCGGCGCTACCTTCATGCTGAACTCTCACTGGGGCAGAGTGGCCACAGGCAAAAAAAGTCTTCTGCCTATGCATGCAGGGTCACCCGGTCATGTCCAACTCTGCGCCCCTGTGGACTGTGGCCTGCCAGGCGTCTCTGTCAGGGAGGGGTTCTCCAAGCAAGACACTGGAGCATATTGGCCAATCCTGGTGGCCATACCCCTCTAGAGCATTCTACTTCCTGCTGCCCTAGCCGCCACCCCCCCGAGTACCTGGTGCTGCCAGAACCGCTGTGACCCAGGCAGCTGCCTCACCTCCACACCAGGCCCTCACAGATCTGTTTCCTGGCCTTTTCCAGCTTCGAGAGGCTGCATGCATTCCTTGACTTCCGGCTCCTTCCTGCATCTTCTAAGTTAGCAAGCCTGAGTTGAATCTTCTGAAATGATATCACTCTAATATCCCCTTCAGTAGTTCTCTGCCACTTTTAAGGACCCATGTGATTATACTGTGCCCACTGAGATAATCCAGGTATCTTCATTGCAGAGACAAGGGATTCAGTTCAGTTCAGTTCAGTCACTCAGTCATGTCCGACTCTTTGCAACCCCATGGACTGGAGCATGTCAGG